GAAAGTGAAAAATTTTATGTGGATGGCAAACCATGACAGAATACAATGCGGTGTGCAGTTAAAAAAGAAAAAATGGACAGGTTCTGAGAAATGTCTTGTTTGCGAAGTATATGAGACTTCGGATCACATTTTATTCCAATGCCCCCTGGCTGTCCTTCTGTGGTCCTTCTTGCGAGACTGTCTGGGGTGGCCATCCTCGCCAACCAGCTGTTCCTCGCTACTCTTGGAGATAGTGGATCAGTATAGAGGTAACAAACAACTCTTAACCATCTTCATATGTGCAGGAGCCTTATGGTCTATTTGGAAAACTCTCAATGAGTTGGTCTTCGACAAGAATGTGGTGTCGTCCCCGTCGACCCTGATCTACAAGGCTCTGTTGCTGGCCAAGTCGTGGCGCCCCCTGCTCAAGCCGAAGATGATGCCGATGGCGGACGGAATGCTGAATAATATCTCCTCGAGAGTTGCGTCTATGTAATCCAGTTTGGGGATGTTGTTTGCGTAGTCTTTTGTTTTCCCCCCACCTGAATTCTTTTCTCCCTAGTTGTTTTTGAGCTATCTGTTGAGTTCTTAGTTGGAGTTTGTGGGTAGAAGTTCTAGGCTTTTGCCTTAGTTCGTTCCTGTAACGCTGGTGTCCCCAGCCTCGGACCATTGATGCTCGTTACGCTTTCTAATAAAGTGGGGTGAATACCTTTGGTCTAAAAGAACCTGAGGTATTTGACATTGATGAACCTGCCTTGTTGCACCCAGCTCCCTGATGGGCCGTGCTGCCTCCCATGTTTGGAATTTCATATCATCTTAGAACCAGCCATCAAGCGTATTGGGCCCCAATTCCAAGTGCCATCCTCGTTGGCTGCTGGAGCATCTGCTGCTAGTACATCCACACCGTTTCCTAAATTGAGACAGCTGGAACTGGAGTGAGTGGGAGGAGTGGGAATGGAGCGACTATGAGGAGCAGGTACTCTTAGAGAACTATACATGTACCAGCTCACCAACCTGACACATGTGGAGAACTTCCCTTCAGTTGTTGAACTTGATGTGTTTAACTGCCCCGAGCTGAAGAGGATCAGCGGCCTCCCCAGGTTGCAGAAGATTAGGATTGTTCGCTGCCCAAAGCTGGAGGTTCTTGGTGGTGTCCCTGAACCCGACAGCCTTGTACTGGAGGACGCCACCATGGACACGCTTCCAGAGTACCTGCGAGCTGTAAGCCCAAGGTATCTCGAGTTAGATTTGCACCAGGGAACTATGTGAATCCTTGTCACCTAGTGGCTCCGAATGGAACATGATCAGCCACATTGGAAAACACAATATCAAGTACATGGAAGATTGAGATCCAAGTTTGCATGAATATTCAGACGAAGACTGAGGACTGCACAGCTGCATTGATGATCGTTCATGCAGTCAGGTAACAAATTGCATCCTTTCACTAGGCCGAAGGTTGCATTCCAGATTCTTAGTTGTTGCTTCTAATCAACTTCGTTACATAACCACAGTATGTATCCATGCATGCATCAATCACTGATACGTCAATTATTTATTAGCAGGCAGGACAAGCTTTCATTTGACCACACACAGGCACAATCGTAGTACCGCTTATTATGTATTTTCAAGTGTCGTTATGCACTGACCGTGTAACTAATGTATGCAGGGATCCAGGATCCTTATGGCAGAGCCACATGATGTTTAGCTTGCAGTGGCAAGTGGGAGTGAGATCTGCTTGGTGTAGAAGCTCGTCTCCAGCACGCAGTACACATACTCTGTTCACATGCAGACTGTCGACATACTGCCAAATAGTGGTTACCGGCGGCGTCTCCTGCACTCTTGTAGGCTTGACCATGTATATTTGTACACTTCATATATTCTTTTTTTTGAAGTAACGGACCTATATATATATATACACTTCATATATTCTTTTTTTTGAAGTAACGGACCTATATATATATATATATATATATATATATATATATATATATATGCACAAGTAATGGGCCTGAAGTCGTGGATCTTGTAATGAACCGAATGTGTGGTGATGAAAGCAGACATGCAGCACAAACATTGTATGCTGACCTGATCGATGATCATGAAATAATCAGGCAGATCATTATTCTTGATCAATCCTACTCAGCCTCCTCGAACTCATGGCGAATTATGGAGTTCTCCTTTCCTTCTCCGATCTCCGTGGCAACAACATGTCATCTGCTTTGTCGCCTGCACTGCACCAATATATGCAAGGCCCTCTGCTTTCTGAGGGAGGCACCAGGCACAGCAAATGGGCAGGACGAGCCTTCAATGTGAGCTGTGACTGAGGAATATTATGGTTCATTCACACTACTTTGGCAGCACGGGACAGCGGTTCATCCTATATAAACGAAGGACGAAGTATAACAGAGAGAAACAAAGCAGAGCAGAGCACAGGAAGGCCCTGTCATCGGTTGGTTTTTGGGCCTTGTACCAGAACACCTCTATCGCTTGGGCTATCCGGGTGGAGATATAGGTTGAGAAGCAAGCATCAACCTGTACGAGGAGCTTACCAACCTGATATATGCGCAGAACTTCCCATCAGTTTTCGAGATTGACATGTCCCACTGCCCAAGCTCAAGAGGATCAGTGATCTCTGCAGATTGCACAAGATTAGGATCCTTCGCTGTCCAAATATGCAGGTGCCCTCTGCACTCGACGGCTTGGGCTTGCAGGACGCCACCATGCTGGCGACACTTCCGGAGCAATATCTGACAGCAGTGAATTCAAGGTGTCTCCAATTGGATTGCAACAAGAAGATACATGAATCCTTATCACCAGGCAGCTCCGAGCGGAACAAGACAAAGGAGTTTTTTTTTAACAATGCAACGAAGTTCCAACCTCTACCGTCCTGGAACGGTACACAGCTAAGAGTCAGTACAAATTGAAGCCAAGGCTCAAACTCTTACATCCAAAAAAGAAAATAAAAACGACAGACGCAAACAACAGAGTTCAGACCAACATTATGCTCGACTAAAAGCCTGGAAAAGAACTAAGACTACCCTTCAATTCGATTCCGAAAATTCCAACCAAATTTTGCGAAGACCGCCATAATTGTTGTCTCCCACTTTCTGTATCCTTCCATAAATAACGGTCTCTCCTTCTTATGTAGCAGGGACCACTAACGGATCCAGTACCTCGCCCTGAAAATTACCTGCAAATATGTATTAGGCGTAGCCTTGTTAAAAACAATGTGTCGGGAACCAAATACTAGGGCATCCGAAGAGCAGGAGCAAATAACCATCAACGTTGATATATTTGAACAAGACAAGAGCGCGACTACACCTCACTACAAGATTTTCGGTCTACTGCAACGCCAAAAAAGTGTAGCAAAAGACCCAAAAATGGTAGCCATAGTAATTTTGCTACCAATTTTTTTTGGTTAAATGTCGTTGCACTTGTAAGGGTAGCAATAGCATAATGCAATGGGTTACATTTTAGTTGCGACACACAGCCCCTCTATTGCAACACTTTTGACGCTTTTGCAACACCTGGTGAGTGTTGTAACAAAAGCAATTGCAACCACTATGGGTGTGGTAATAGTATCAATTGCAACGAACTAGGCGTTGCTAGCGATACGTATTGCGACACGCTGGTCGTGTAGCAACACAATGCAAGCGCAACGCAACACAGGTGTTGCAATCGTGGTTGTTGCTACGCAGAGAAAGCATTGCAATAGAGGTTCTCTATTGCCACGTCGCCTAAATGGTTGCTATAGGTGGCTTAGGTTATTGCAACATCTCTTCAGGTTGGTTGCTACAGAGAGGTCGTATATTGCCACGTTTCTGAATGGTTGCTATAGATGGCATAGGCTATTGCCACGTTACTTAGGTTGGTTGCTACAGACAGGTCATCTATTGCCACGTTACTAACTATCTGGTTGCTATAGGTAGATTCCTCTATTGCCACCGTCATCTTTTTGTAGTTGCAAGAGATAGTTTCTCTATTGCCACGATTATCGTACCTATTGCCACGACTAAATGTGGTTGTTATATGTGCCATCATATATTGCAACGCCAGATTAATATATTAATAATTCATGTTGCGACACTTTGTTTGGTAGCTTAAATTAATAATCGCAAAACGACAAATACATAATGAAGGAAGCATCGACATCCATTAAAACGAAATATAATTTGTTCATACAAAATCTTTAACAAAACACACCGAGTGTCAAACTAAATGAGAACACAAGTAGATAGCTTAACACATAATAATGTGTTAAGCACAGACAACTGTTTGAACTCATTCGAATCAAAAGACTAATGTCTACTGTAGCAGCGAAGGTTCCCTTGATATGTATGTTGGCCATCGTCCCACCATTCGCATGCTCCTTCTCAAACTCAAGATTCCTCCTGAAAAAATCATTGACATGCATTAGTTAAACTGAGACTAGTGGTGGCAAAGCTAATTGAACACTGAAGCAAAACACGAGCTGCAGTACTAGAGTTCTGTGAGCTGCAGTACTATCAACCATGAACTTTGAAGCGTAAAGCAAATATAAACATACATGCAGCTGCCTCCCAAGACATTTTATGAGCACAAACACATCCATATATATTTCTAATCAGCAAGAGGAAACTAAGCCTGGACCATATTTAGGAGCAGAACAAAAGAATAGCTATGTACTTCTCCAAAAGGACTATATGTTCCTTTTTAATGCAAAGAGAGATAAAAGGTTTCACATAGTACCTGTGTATTCTTTTTGGACAATGCAGATCTTTTCCTAGCCGCAGTTTCCTTCAGTTGCTTTGCTGTAGTATGAAATTGTATACAAGGAAGCCTCATAATTTCCTGAAGATGAGCATTTGTTTGATTTATTGTAACAGCAGGTCGAACAAGACGTGGCGGAGGCCTGCGAGGTGGAGGAGCACGAGCATACGGTAAACGGCCACCTCATGGGGCACCATGCCCGACTCTAAAATTTCCTCTCAATCCATGCTTCATTCTAGGTGGTCTCTGTAGTGGCCGCGACAGTCTAGCCCTTACTTTTGCCTGAATCGGGAAATTGCAATCATTACAAAAAAAAAAACTTGCACAATGACATAATATATATTTATATGGACACTGCAAATATAGTTGCAATTTGTAAAACAGACCTTGTGATCACCTTCACCAATCTCAGAGTTACCAAGCAACAGCATTATCATGCGTATCAAATGTAACAAACCCAAAATCCTTTCTCTTGGCAGCTGGCATGTTTCGAGCAAGTTCGACTTTCTCAATAGCTCCATACTTTTTGAGATATTTCTTAACACGGTCTTCATCCCATGAGGGAGGAAGGCCATCAAGAAATACAGTTCTGACCTGAATCATAAATAACATAAATCAGGATGCAACAACTTTAAAGTTTAAACAGATCAGGTAGATACATAGAAACTATTGGGTACACGTGTTAATGGGCAATTCATGATTGATTTTTAAGTTATAATTACTGTACAAAATAAGTATTCACCTGTGCCATTATTTCGTCATCGACTTGAGGGTAGGAATCAGCAAAGGAAACCTTTGCACTACGATCAACTCCAAAGACTACATCCCTCTTCTGCAATATCCTGAAAGCATCCATTGACTCAGGTCGAGTAGAAAGCTCAAGCAAGGCATAGCCACGATTCATCCCAGGATTGTTAGTATCCTCAACCAGTAGTAAGTCGTCAAAACTTTCAACTCCATAACTCTTCAGTTTATCCTTCAACTGCAAAAGCCAAAACAAGTTATTTCTTCGGTGAAGAAGCAAATGAAAATCACAAAAACAAATCTCAATTGTCATACATGTTCTTTTGTCCATGTTTTACAGATATTGCCGACAAAGAGTGTATCATTGTCATGACTTGGAGCAACGCCACATTGTTTACCCCGCACCTGGAGTATATATTAAATAAAACATGTAAGCCATTTGTGAAAAAGATACAGAAACATAAAATAGTCAATCTTAAGACCAACCTGGTCTTTAGCTCTGAAACAGCACGCCTTGCTTGCTCTACAGTTGCATATCGCAGGAAGGCAAAGCCTTTATTCTTCTTTGTGACAGGGTTCATCATCAGACGAACTTCAGTGATCTCACCAACTTCACCAAAAACCTTCCTAAGGTCATTTTCTGTTGCATCTTTATCCAGCCCACCAACAAAAACTTCAAACTCCTTCCGCTTGCGGTGCTCTTTGACCATTTCATTATGTTCTTCATCATCCACATCCACATGATGTTCTTCGTCAGCATTTTCGTATCCCTCCCCCTCCCCATCATCACCACCTTCATCAAGTTCCTCATCCACCAAATCTATCTCTACTTCAACCACATCTTCAGTATACTCCACCTCTTCATCACCATCCTCGTATTGCTCCTCATACTGCTCCAAATCTTTCTCATCGTAGTCTACAGCAGCCTCCTCTTCATATTCTGGTTCATCCTCGAACTCCAGCCGTTCGCCTTTGTCCTCTTCTTCATATGTTTCTTTTGCAACTCCGTCATCTAAAAATTTGAGCATAAGACACACTCCCATCAGCTTATTTTAAGATAAAACAGTGAACAGTATCTGACCCATATAGAGCAGAGCCCATCAGCCATAATTACAACAAACACATAATCTTCTTTGTTCTATTTCAAACTAAGTAAAACCTATAGTAGTCATTGTCAAAACAGAATGCCAAATGGCCACAGGCATCAAAATAAATATCCTGGGCATGTCATCAATAGAATGGCCAAAATATATGTTCATGTTCCACCAAGTATAATAGGGATTATTGCATAATACAACCGCCATGCTACAACTAATAATCTATAATCTAAATCTCTGAGGCCGCAGGACAGATCATAGCAGAAGTCCACGACCTATGCACGAAATAGGAGCAGAAACAATACCTTCGCCCCGGTTGGCACCGTTGGCCGCGGCATCGGAGCCTTTCTCCTCCACCACCAGCTGTTGCGGCAGCAGAGGCGAGGGCTGCCGCTTCGGCTCCTCCACCACCTTCGGGGCCTCCTCGGCGACCTTCACCTCCTCAGCAGGCGCCTCCTTCATCTCCTCCACAACCGGCACCTCCTCCGCAGCAGCCGGCGCCCTCCCCATCTGGCCCCTCGCCCCCGGCGCCTTCCTCGCGGTGGCAGCGCCACTCCTCTTAGACTTCGGCGGCATCTCCCACGTCACAGCAGACCAAAGGGGAAGAGATCACCTGGACACCACGAAAAAACACAGATTTAGGGGAACCAGAGCCCGAATCTGGGTGCCGAGGGTGGAATCGTGGGGGCGTACCTGGTCCTGGTGCACTCGCGGATCGAATTGGGAGGCAGGCGAAACCCTAGCGCCGGAGGCGAAAGGTGCGGCCTTTGGATTGCGGTGACCTGACACGGAGACCTGGCGACCTGGAGTGGCCTACGTATTTTTTCCGGCGGCGCGTGCGCGTGGGAGTTCCGCGAGAGGTCGACGGAGGCAGACAGAGTAAACATGAGCCGTCCGATATGGATGATTAATGGCTAAGAGATAATCTGGTACATTATTCACTAATCTTACACATGTCTCATATAGTTTATAAAACCTTACGAGACATGTGTCACATTTATGAACAATGTCAGTACTACTTTGTCATATGAAGAAATGACCAATACAAAAGTTGTATATCTTGATAAGTTATTCAACTTTGGTATTTATCACCTTTTCAGCTGAAATCATTTGGGGTACCAAAATCTTGTCTGAAGTTTCATTTTTTTGAAATTCAAAATTTAAATTGCTCAAACTTTTCATATGTATATATTGACAAAACCAAAAAAATAAATTGATAGAGAATGATTTTAGAAAATTTTAGGAAAAAAAATCATCAGATTTGGAGTTAGTATGAGGAAGAAAAACTAGTTACAAAGTTAACCCATAAATTAAAAAAAAGAAATCACACTGTTCACTATGATCATGTAAGGATCATATAGAACAATGTGATTTCTCTTTTTAATCTGTGGGTAAAATTTGTAACTAGTTTTTCTTCCTCACACTAACTCCAAATGTGATGATTGTTTTTTCTAAAAATTTCTAAAATCATGCTTCAGTATTTACGTTTGATCAAACTTGGATGTGACAATGTTTTACACATTTTAAAATTTGAAATTTAAAATTTGACAAGTTCAAACCAAATTTTCAAACCCTAATTGATTTCAGATGTAAAAGTGATGTATACAAAAGTTGTTCAACTCATCAAGATCTACAACTTTTATTTTGGTCATCTTGTAATTTGACTAAATTTGAACCTTTCAAATTTGAAATTTTAAAAAATGACAAATTCGAACCAAAATTTGAGACCCAAAATGATTTCAACATAAAAAGTAATGAATACCAAAGTTGTTCAACTCATTAATATCTACAACTTTTATTTTAGTCATCTTGTTATTTGATAAAATTTGAACCTTTTAAAATTAAAATTTTGAAAAACGACAAGTTCGAACCAAAATTTGAGACCCAAATTGATTTCAACATAAAAAGTGATGAATACCAAAGTTATTCAACTCATGAATATCTGTAACTTTTATTTTGGTCATTTCTTCATTTGACAAATTCTTAGTACACATTATTCACTAATCTTACACATGTCTCATATAGTTTATAAAACCTTACGAGAGATGTGTCACATTTGTGAACAATGTCAGTACCACTTTGTCATATGAAGAAATGACCATTACAAAAGTTGTAGATCTTGATAAGTTATTCAACTATAGTATTTATCACTTTTTCAGTTGAAATCATTTGGGGTACCAAAATCTTGTCTGAAGTTGCATTTTTTTTGAAATTCAAAATTTAAATTGCTCAAACTTTTCATATGTATATATTGACAAAACCAACAAAATAAATTGATAGAGAATGATTTTAGAAATTTTTAGGAAAAAAATCATCAGATTTGGAGTTAGTATGAGAAAGAAAAACTAGTTACAAAGTTGACCCACAGATTAAAAAAAGAAATCACACTGTTCACTATGATCATGTAAGGATCATCTAGAACAGTGTGATTTCTCTTTTTAATCTGTGGGTAAACTTTGTAACTAGTTTTTCTCCCTCATACTAACTCCAAATGTGATGTTTTTTTTTCTAAAAATTTCTAAAATCATGCTTCAGCATTTACGTTTGATCAAACTTGGATGTGACAATGTTTTACACATTTTAAATTTTGAAATTTGAAATTTGACAAGTTCAAACCAAATTTTCAAACCCTAAATGATTTCAGATGTAAAAGTGATGAATACAAAAGTTGTTCAACTCATCAAGATCTACAACTTTTATTTTGGTCATCTTATTATTTGACTAAATTTGAACCTTTCAAATTTTGGCTGCTATTTATTCGTGCGCCATCAGTAGGGGCGGCTGGTGATTCAGCCGCCCTTACAGTTGGTCACTGCAGGGGCGGCTAGTGATTGAGCCGCCCCTACATATCAGCCCCAACTGTAGGGGGCGGCTCAGTTACTGCAACCCGACCCTACAATTGCCATCTAACAGGGCGGCTAGGCTGCTGGGCCCGAGGACGCCCATCGTAAGGGCGCCCAACCCGGCCGCCCCTACAAAGAAAAAAACGTCCTGTTCCTCTTTATTTAATCTGGCGTAGTGCATGTGACCGATGGTGCATGGTCAGGCATTTACTATCGCTAACAAAGTGACCAACCACCCCCGGTACAACTTCAAGTACTAATTAACATCCACGCATACTTAACATCAAGTACTTAACAGCAACTACTACTTAACAGAAAGTTTCAGACACCAGGCATAAGGACGGAGATGCCGAGATGGGGCCAGGGTTGGGGCGTTTTATAACTCATAAGGTCTTCAATCATATCAAATAAATTAAAACCTGAGTTACAACGAACACACCTACATAGCGCAGTGGTGGAGAAGGTTTTATCTGAACCAGAGCTCCATGGTTCGAATCCTATGGGGAGCACTTTTTAATTTTAATATATGCGTCCCCAATTCTTTTCTTTCCATACTTTTTTTTAAGTTTTAAATTCGTTGCAATTATCAAAGTATATTGCAACCAAAAATAAGCGTTGCACTTGAACACAATTTTCGCTTCGACCCCATAGATTTCGTTGCAATAAAATTTAGCACTTGCAACAATATCAAAGTATATTGCAACTGCCAAAAAAGGTTGCAATTGACCCCCACTTTTGCTTCGCCTCCAAGAGTTCTCGTTGCATTAAGTATCTAGCATTTGCAACGCTTGTCAAATTTTATGCAACACAAAAAAACCGTAGCAATAGTCAAAACCAAATGCAACTAACGTAAATGTAGTTGCAGTACTACCACACAATTGCAACCAAAATCAAGTCTACTACAACCATTTTTCACCATTGCAATATCGTCCACCAAATGCAACAGAGCTTTGCAACATCTTGAAAACCGTTGTATTAAAGGCATGTATCGCTACCATTTTTTAGAATGGTTGTAATACAACAATCTCTGGCAACCAAATTTTCTACGTTGCAATTCTTCGGCGTTGCAGTAGACCGAAAATCTTGTAGTGCCTCTTGCCCGACGTCCGAGGGTTGGCTCCATCTCGTCCGACCCCCGAGGGTTGGCTCCGCCTCACCAGATCCCTGAGGGCCGGCCCCGCCTCACCCGAGCTCTGAGGGCTGGCCCCGCCTCGCTCGACGTCTGAGGGCCGGCTCCGCCTCGCCCGACGTCTGAGGACTGGATCCGCCTCGCCCGACGTCTGAAGGCTGGTTCCGTCTCGCCCGAGGTCTGAGGGCTGACTCACCCTGCGCACGACTCCTTTACGACAACGCGCGGAGTAGATAAGGCAAGGCGCTCAAAGTCAACCGCAATACCGAGGACCGTACCCTACACACCTGCAGGGCAGTACTGTCAAGCCATGCCAGAAGGGTGCTTTGCGACCTTCCAGGCATGTCAGAGCCCCAATAGTGTTGTAGACGCCGACATTTGTCTCACAGTGTTGTGGGTGCCGTCATTTGCCCTCAGGCCCGAATTCTTACGGAAGCTAACGACAACCACTACGGTCCAGAAGGAAACTCGCATCATCCACAGTAACAGATGTGCTGTCACTATGCTGCCCGTTCTATGGCCATTGATCAACACCCTTCTCCGCCGCATCACCCACTAGGGCGGGATGGGACTTGACGACCCACTGACAATGCCAGGACGTAGCGTCGTTAGCGGACAGACGCCCAGCGTAACCCTGTCAGGTTCAGCGGACAGGAGTCTAGCAGGGGACAGTCCCTACCGCCGTCTGCCATGTCAGCGAGGCCTACACAGAGGAAAAGGAAGACCCGGCGTCCTTGATGGACTTCCTTGGCCTCTGGTTTTTTCTCTTTTCTCCTGTCTGTAATCCCTGCTCTCCCTTGGCCTATAAAAGGGAAAGCAGGGCACTCCACTAAGGGGACCGATTGATTCATCACAACACACAACACACTGTATCACAACTGAGCAACAGCCTAGCTCTCAGCACCCATTCGACCTTTCCATCAGAGACTTGGGACCTGTCCCTCTCTCGTCCGTTTGTAACCCATACTATGAACTTTTCAGTGCTAATAACACGAGCAGCAGCCACGAACTGCACGTAGGGACATTCTGCCCGAACCAGTATAAACCTTGTATCTTTTTAGCACACCATCCGGACCAGACGCGCAATAACACAAATTTACTTGTTGGTGTTTATTCGAAACACCGACAGTTGACGTGCCAGGTAGGGGCCTTTGCGTGTCCCGATGTTAACATCAGGCCACGGATGGCTAGTCATGACATCAGCTAGGTCCTGGGCACACACGTGCGCTTCGGGGACCTCAACTTCATCGTCACGGCGGAGGGAGAGCTGGCGCAGGCACCCATCGCCATTCAACCCTCCCACTCCACCGGCCTCGGCGCGATCACCAAGATGCTCCCATTCGGTCTCCGCAACGCCGCAGAGACCGTCGACCACCTTGTGGCGCAACGCATGATTCCATCCCCTGTGAATGACGAGTTCGTGGGGATGATCGAACACATCACGGAATCTTTCCACGACCTCCTCGCAAAGGAGCCGGAGTCGCCCTCTGGCTCTGACTCCAACAGGGGGAGCCATCACTCCTCTCGTGAGTGCTTCATGATGGGTACCCCCGAGGGACACATCGAAACCGTCCCCAAGGAGGAGACTACCCTGACGACTGACC